AAATAAGTTATCCGAACAACCCCAGTCCCCAATTAATTCGGATAAACGACGCTCTACTGTATTTTGATTATGTTATAATTTTTAATCAGTAGCGTAGCGTAGGGGTCGGTAGGGGCGGTTCGCCCCGGGCAGCACTTTTTAGGGGGCGTCAAAATTACACTTTAGGGGCGGCAAATTTTCACAGTAAATAATAATAATATCTTGTAAGAATTTGAACCATTTTATTTCATATCATCGTCCACCTACGATTCGGACCGATTGAAATGAGCACGGAATAGTGTTACCATCCGACTCGCCGCCCGGGAATGTCGTGCGCAACCTGTCGACCTTTTTTTTTTGCTTGTGCGATTCATTCGTAAGTAATATACACCTCCAATGTCCAATAGAGCTAGGTCACTTGTGTTACTCCTATCCAAGTCTCCCTAGTCGCTAACTGTAAGTGATTTAGAACCGGCATGCACGGCAAATTATTCTTCGCATTGCAAAATGACATAGGCCTACGCATGCGTTAGGAACTTCTGTTCGAACAAACCTCACCTGCCATCCGGGTCAGCGATTTTAAGAAGGTGGCAACACTAGCGCGGAAATTTTCATTACTTATTCTGTGACGAAACTGAATTTTAGTCTTTTAAATTGAGATACCTAAATAAGGGGGCGGCGAAATTTTCCTCCGACCCGGGCGGCTGACACCCACGCTACGCCACTGTTTTTAATATTATATTTTATAATATAGGTCTAGTAGTCTATTAGTCTATATTATAATATAGGTCTATTAGTAGGTCTATATAATAGACCTAATATATAATAGGTCTATATAATAGGTGTCTATTAGTCTATATTATAATATAATAAAATTATATTTTTAATAAATATATATCATTCAATTATATTGTAATTAGATTATCAGGACACACGTGGACTACTCGATACTCTCAATAGATAAAATCGATTAATAAACATAAGTTCGTGTCTTCCATAAGGAATCGTTTACGTTTATAATAAAAATCTACATAAAACCAAATTTATTTTAAAATTGTATACGAAGTAGACATCATTAATACTGTAATTAAATATTAATAAATTACCTACATTGTTAAAATACGGATAAATTATTTCATAATAACAGAATTAAAAACAAAGAAAGAGAACATCTGTAATACAGTGACATAAGCAAGTTTTAATTTTAAATACTTCTATAGAATATTCACTAATTCATATATTGTGTTTTATATCTTTATTGAAAAAACACCTAACAATTTGTATATCAAATTTTTAATGTTAAAAAGTAGTTGTAATATTTTTCAAATGAAAATAAAATGACCGATTTGTAAATTATCAATAAAATTGCGAGATATTTATATTTTGATAGAATTTAAATGGTTCAACGCTTCTCTTCGTAATAAAAATCATACAATTTTTAATTTAAAAAAAAATCATTAAGAATAAGATAAACTTGTCCCTTTACCAGCTATCTAATTTCAATTTTCTCAGTTAAATTACGTCTCTATGCCTACTTTTGCAGTTATTTTCTCTCGATATCTTTAATTAATAGCGATGTATTCAAATTCGTCTAGACTGGATTATTGAGATAAAATATTCTTTTTTTCATTCAAATTAGCAATATATAAGCAGGAATATTTCTAAAGCAGGAAAATTAATCTTTATTTTATTATCTTTAGGTTCTTCATTTAAAAGAGTAAACAAGACGGCGTAATGAATAAAGCCCTAACCGGTTTGTGTTTTCGAACTAACAGTTCTATCCTCACCAGTGGAGGCCTTAGGGCAGTGTTTCCCAAACTTTTTTAGGCCGTGCCCCACTTTAACATTTCTAAAATCATCATGTCCCCCCATACATAATTTCAGTTATAAAATTTATTTTTGTTCTTTTTAGTAATATGAATNTAAAAATAAAAAAGTTATAAGATAACCTAATCCTTCCGAAGCTTACATACGATTATTTTAGAATAGTAATAATAATAAATACAGTAGAGCGTCGTTTATCCGAAAGTCGGTTATCCGAAAGCATTCCAGTCGGCAAATTTAAATTTTCGCTAGTGCTGTGGCGCAGCAATCTTTGGCTATATCTTGGGCTACTCCAATATTTTTTTTTGTTCGTGTGTGTGTTTTAGCTGGCAGCACTGGCGCTTTTGTGTGATGTTTTTCTGAGACTGTGTCGTGTTGAATCGAGCATTTTTGATACTAGATCAACTTCTAAAGTATATTTTTTTCTTTTGGTTTTTATATTTTTCAATATATTTTAATAATTTAAATAATTTTTTAACGATACAATAGCCACGATTATTATTTTAAAAAGTTTTCGTTAGGCTTAATATCGACGAAAATTCAACGCGAAGTGAAACGCAACGGAGAAAATTTTCAACATGGAATAGGTTAATATATTTTTCATACGTAATCGGTTATCCGAAAAATAAGTTATCTGAACAAGCCCAGTCCCCAATTAATTCGGATAAACGACGCTCTACTGTATTTTGATTATGTTATAATTTTTAATCAGTAGCGTAGCGTAGGGGTCGGTAGGGGCGGTTCGCCCCGGGCAGCACTTTTTAGGGGGCGTCAAAATTACACTTTAGGGGCGGCAAATTTTCACAGTAAATAATAATAATATCTTGTAAGAATTTGAACCATTTTATTTCATATCATCGTCCACCTACGATTCGGACCGATTGAAATGAGCACGGAATAGTGTTACCATCCGACTCGCCGCCCGGGAATGTCGTGCGCAACCTGTCGATTTTTTTTTTTTTTGCTTGTGCGATTCATTCGTAAGTAATATACACCTCCAATGTCCAATAGAGCTAGGTCACTTGTGTTACTCCTATCCAAGTCTCCCTAGTCGCTAACTGTAAGTGATTTAGAACCGGCATGCACGGCAAATTATTCTTCGCATTGCAAAATGACATAGGCCTACGCATGCGTTAGGAACTTCTGTTCGAACAAACCTCACCTGCCATCCGGGTCAGCGATTTTAAGAAGGTGGCAACACTAGCGCGGAAATTTTCATTACTTATTCTGTGACGAAACTGAATTTTAGTCTTTTAAATTGAGATACCTAAATAAGGGGGCGGCGAAATTTTCCTCCGACCCGGGCGGCTGACACCCACGCTACGCCACTGTTTTTAATATTATATTTTATAATATAGGTCTAGTAGTCTATTAGTCTATATTATAATATAGGTCTATTAGTAGGTCTATATAATAGACCTAATATATAATAGGTCTATATAATAGGTGTCTATTAGTCTATATTATAATATAATAAAATTATATTTTTAATAAATATATATCATTCAATTATATTGTAATTAGATTATCAGGACACACGTGGACTACTCGATACTCTCAATAGATAAAATCGATTAATAAACATAAGTTCGTGTCTTCCATAAGGAATCGTTTACGTTTATAATAAAAATCTACATAAAACCAAATTTATTTTAAAATTGTATACGAAGTAGACATCATTAATACTGTAATTAAATATTAATAAATTACCTACATTGTTAAAATACGGATAAATTATTTCATAATAACAGAATTAAAAACAAAGAAAGAGAACATCTGTAATACAGTGACATAAGCAAGTTTTAATTTTAAATACTTCTATAGAATATTCACTAATTCATATATTGTGTTTTATATCTTTATTGAAAAAACACCTAACAATTTGTATATCAAATTTTTAATGTTAAAAAGTAGTTGTAATATTTTTCAAATGAAAATAAAATGACCGATTTGTAAATTATCAATAAAATTGCGAGATATTTATATTTTGATAGAATTTAAATGGTTCAACGCTTCTCTTCGTAATAAAAATCATACAATTTTTAATTTAAAAAAAAATCATTAAGAATAAGATAAACTTGTCCCTTTACCAGCTATCTAATTTCAATTTTCTCAGTTAAATTACGTCTCTATGCCTACTTTTGCAGTTATTTTCTCTCGATATCTTTAATTAATAGCGATGTATTCAAATTCGTCTAGACTGGATTATTGAGATAAAATATTCTTTTTTTCATTCAAATTAGCAATATATAAGCAGGAATATTTCTAAAGCAGGAAAATTAATCTTTATTTTATTATCTTTAGGTTCTTCATTTAAAAGAGTAAACAAGACGGCGTAATGAATAAAGCCCTAACCGGTTTGTGTTTTCGAACTANTATTTAGATTTATTCACTCTCACATTCGTATAAAAAGTAAGATTAACGATATCAAAATTAATTAATTTAACAGTTAATAATATTTTATGTAATTTGACTGTAAAACACATTTAAAAAATTCATTACTATTTGAATCGTACACCTGGAGCATTAGAAAACCCACTTGAACGCGCGGTTTTGTTACTTTCGTGATTCATCGTGTTTACGATTTACGCTCGGGGAATCCCCGTGTTTCATTTCGTTCATCAACTCTTGTCACCTGATGCTTATTTTGCTAGCCGCTGTATGCGTTACATAATCGTTTGTATATATCTTTCAGTAGGTAAATAAACATTAAATGATATTAAGTTTCAGTGAATCTTACATTATTAACAGTACTTATAGTAAAGAGTGAACTATTTTAAAAAAACTGTGTAAAATTGCTTGTAAATTATTTCTGAATTCGTTTTACGTGCAAAACAAGATTTATGAAATGAGTTCGCGTGATCCTGATGACGATAGAAAATTTGAGTCGGGTAGTTCAAAAAAGGAAATGAGCTATCAAAAGAAAGCGGGTAGAAGAAAAACTACGTGGGTCTTTATATAAATATATAAAAAGTGATGGTCAAGAAACCTCTAGAAACCTAGAACCCGTCATTGACTGAAAGTGACACATTATTGCACTGTACCCTTAACCCATCTGAAATTATTCCTTCAACATCACATGGGTACCACCTAGTTACAATAGCGAGGATAACGAGTCAACAACATCATTGTCTCTTACACCACCGCCGCCGCTGCCTTCGTCAACACTATCCAGCCAAGAATACGTATTTGAGTCTATGTCTTTATTCATGACTGGCGGAATTGAAAATTTGAATCCTCAAAATGACTCAGGTTTGTGGCCATTAACAATTACTGATGTAGACCGAACTGAGATTGTATTAAAAGGTCCAATCCGGGTTAAAGTTGATTTTTTTCCGTAAATGATAACGGACGACGATTCGGCGAATATCATTACAGTAAAAGATTAGCTAATGGTGAAAAACTTGACAGGCGCTGAATGATTTATTCACAAACAAAGGATGCCGTTTACTGCTTTCCGTGTCAAATGTTCGGACTAGAAAATACAAGAATTGGATCCAGTGAAGAAGTGTGTGATTGGAAACACTTGGGTGATTACCTAAAGTCTCATGAATCTAGCTGACTGCACAAAGATTGTATGTTGAAATGGTTAAATTTAGAAAACGGGTTAAAAAGCTGTACCACTATTGATTCTTTAGCCCAGACTCAAATTGAACAAGGCAGCGTTGGAGAGATATTTTAGAAAGACTACTTGCAATTGTAAATTTTTTAGCATCTCACAATTTGGCCTTCAGAGGTCATAGAGAGAAAATATCTGACTCAGATTCAAGTGAGACTAGCGGCAACTTTATAGATTTAGTAAAGTTAATAGCCCGATTCGATCCAATGTTGCGACTTCACCTAAAACAAGTAACAGACAAGACGACCAATGACCACTATCTCGGAAAAAATATTCAAAATGAGCTTATACAATTAATGGCAAGTCACGTAAAGGCTCAAATTGTTGACAAAATAATAAAGAATAAATATTACTCGATTATTCTTGATTGTACTCGTGACGTTTCTCGTGTTGAGCAACTGTCCATTATTATAAGATTTTTTAATACAAATACAGCTGACATTGAAGAACATTTTATTGGCTTCTTAGCCGTCGAAAAAACCACAGCTGAGAGTTTGACTAATTATATAATCACGGAGCTAGAACAGTTGGGTATATCATTGCAAAACTACAGAAGCCAAGGATATGATAATGAAGCCAATATGCGTGGAGAAAAAAGTGGTGTCCAGAAACGTATACTTGAAATTAATCCACTTGCTTATTTTTTACCTTGTGGGAGTCACAGCTGGAATCTCATCCTAGAAGATGCAGCATCCTCTTGTGTTCAAGCAAAAATTTTTTTTTTGGTTTGCTACGAAAGCTGTACACTCTGTTTGCCGGCTCGAGTCACAGGTGGGCTATTTTAAAAGCACATGGAAAATCCTTATCACTAAAACCACTTTCCGAAACTAGTTGGGAATGCAGGGTAGAATCGGTGAAGGCCGTTAAATACCAACTAAGCGATATATGTGATGCTTTGAAGGATTTAACAGAAAATATAACAGATTGTCAGTTGGTTAGTGAATGCCATTTTGTAGAAAAGGAAATAACTACCTACGAATTTGTAGTTGCTCTCGTCGTATGGTATGACATTCTTACAAAGAGAAATGTTATAAGTAAAATGTGGCAGAGCAAAAAAATGCACCTAGATGCGGCCATACAACACCTAGACGCATTTATACACTGGCTTGATAATTATCGGGAAAATGGTTTCCAATCATCCTTGGTAACAGCGAGAGAAATAGCCGATGAAAATGATATTAATAGAAAGTTCAAAGTCGTGAGAAGGAGACGTAAAAGAACGAATTTTGATTATGACCGGGAAGATGAAGCTCTTGAATTGCCTGCGGAAGAGATTTTCAAAATAAACTATTTTTATGTCATTTTCGACAATGTGCGCCTAGATTTGAGGCACTTAAACATCATGAGAGCATATTTTATGTATAACATAAAAATATTAAAGGAAATTAGTGATTGTGAACTTTTGAAGCAATGCGGCGACTTACAAATATCTCTAACAGTAGGAGAAACATCTGATATTGATGGACATGAATTGTATGAAGAACTGAATATGTTTATCTACGTATATGAAGGAAACGACGACATTATCTCAGTGCTGAAATATATAATAGAAAAAAATTTAACTGAAGTGTACCCCACCATGGAAGTAGTCCTGAGAATTATTGCCACCACACCTGTGACAGTTGCGTCTGCAGAAAGGAGTTTCTCGAAGTTAAAAATTATTAAAACATATTTGAGAAATTCGATGACACAAGATCGGCTTTCGGCCCTTGCTATTCTTTCAATTGAAAATGACGTAGCTCATTCGTTAGATTATTCTTCTTTATTTAAAGATTTTAGTCTTAGGAAAAGCAGCAAACATTATTTTTAAATCCCTGCGTATATCTTTTAAGGCATTTATGTACCTTAGTTTATCATCAATAATTTGTCGTCTTTATGTTTGTTAACTTTTATAAATCTTCTAATATATTTTAAAACTCTAAATTTATTTATTTATAACTTTTGCAATTCTCGTCAATCATCAGAAATACCTATTTCAATTCGCCTACTTTGCACAAAGGACAAGGGCCTCGCAAAGATGTGCCTCCCAGAGCCTCGCAATGGATAAGGCCGCCGCTTATCCTCACTTCATTAATTTCATTAGAATTTGAATGTGAAAAAATAACGTTTAAAATCGCCAGAACTAACTTCTCTGCCTTTGTCAATCTCTTCTCGAAATTAAACATAATTCATTAATACAACCAAATGAACACTTTAAAAGCAGTTTATGGAAACTTATTTATTCCGTAAACGGAAATTAATTTTTTAGAGGCTAACGGACATTTCCTTTTTCGAACTCTGACGCAAATCTAATATTCGAAAATGTGGTCATTTCAAATACAAATTAAAATTCATCTTTACAGATTATTTATTAACGTTCAATTTGAGTAAATACAATCAGAATTTAACAGTTAGACGATTTTTATTTTAGCATCTGACGCATAAAATATTCATAATGTCATAACCCTTTCTCAAATTTGGCAGCTTTTCTATCTGGCTTTCAGTTTAATGAAAACGTGTCTTTGCTTAGCAAAAAATCACCACTTTTCATTGCTGAATTGCCAAGCGTACTGCGAAGAAATTCTTAGAAGGGAAAACTTAGAAATATCACACAAAGCTTGTAACGCACCATTTACGATAACAAAAAAAGGGGTTACACAATATTAGGGTTCAAGTACCAGGCCTGGACTTTCCAAATAAAAAACAATAATTTCCAAAACAGCAGGTAATAATTACAATAAATATAAGTTTTATTATATTAAAAAAAACAATAATGGGTTAATTGTCCCAACAGTTAGTTGAATAAGTGAAAGCAACAACAAAAAATCAATAATCCAAGAAAATCGTACTTATAATATCAATTGAAAGAAAACTTTTTTATCTCCACCTCAAAAGGATCCTACAGCCAAAATATATGTCTTCCGCTAATTGATCACAGACGTCTCGACAACCGTCGTCGCCAGATGCTACTACCCTCTCCGTAATTAGAGAATTTTTACATGGGTATAAAAATATGTTCGATTCGCACAAAAACGCAAAAAAAAAAAAAAATTTAAAATAGTACAGTAGAAGCGAAGTTCTTCGGGGTAATCCTTAACTTTCTCCCTCTCCCCTGCAGGCGGAATTTCTAAATATCCCTTCTTAGTGTGCATTTTCATAATGTACCCTAACTGTATACCAAATTTCAACTGTGAATGCCTAACCGTTTGGATTCTGCGCTTATTGTTAGTATTAACCCATCTCGATTATATATATAGATTAACCCCCTTTCTCGGTCCTCGATTGATCTTTATCTGTTACCAGGTAAAATTGGACCAGATTGACTCCCGAGAAAAACGATTGTTTATTAATTTTCGGGTTCACATCCTCTACTTCTAATATAGCAGCATTCAATTTTGCGAACACACCAGCTAACTCTTTTACAGTGAAGTTCTTTTATACTTCTCCTCTTCCGAGGACCTTCCTTCGACTCTTGTTGCTTTCTCGAGATAAAGTCGTGCTGTTTCTTTCGTTGACATCTCATTTGTCTATGCGATGATCTGGCCCTGTCCTCCACGAAAGAATTTTGTCCTAATCCGCCGTCGACAACAAGGTATGATAGTTGATCAGTCTATGTACACGCTCTCTCTCTCTCGGTCAGAAATAATATTTGATAGGATTAACGCTTGCTTAATAATAATAACGCTTTCTAGTGATTTGTACTAGCTTGAGGAAATTGCATTCCTCACGTTTAGCTTCCTATTTGTAATCTTTTTATTTTTATTAAATTTGTTGAGTTTTTTCAATGGTTGATCTTTACATAATATCGCGAACGTCTTATCGACGACCTCACTATCCCTCCCACTCGAATTATAGCCCTCCTATTTTAAATAGACATCCAATGACAACGTGAGTGGTCTTCTCCAGACCGTCGCCGTTAAAGGAGGTATAAAGGGCGACGCTCTACCCCTTTTCCGGTTTCTCACAATTATATAAAATGGCAGAAAGCTTAATTTTCAAAGTAGAGATGGGTTTCATAAAAAAAATTATAAATGATAATAACGAGTAAAATCGTAATTAAGTCAGACAGTGGCTTACTGTGGATCTGAACTAGAGGGGGACAACTTTTATTAGTTTCGAGGAAGTGGGGAGGGAGAGTGAGATTTCACGACAAATCGCTCTAGTCTGGTCACAATATTCATTATTCAAACTGATACTAAATTGATACATCTGTGTTGCGTGTCTGTGTGTCAATTATTACACTTTAATTTTTCTTCTAAATTGATACATCAGCGATCGTACTCAGCGAGGGGCAGTTGGGGCAGTTGCCCCCTTCCTGTCCCTCGCTGAGTACGCCATTAAAGTCCGACTGTACTGGAGATATGACACACGACCTCTTTTATTCTCTCACCGTCGACCTTTAACCATCAAAATTTTATGGCATCAATTTCCCTAATACACAAACTTTCCTACAAAATTTCAGAAATTTTCGACAAAAAGCACAGGAGTTATTAAGCTTCTAAGAAGATGAACAAAATCATGCCACAAACACACGTACACACACATCACACATATACACTAACATCCACTTACAGAAAAACCCCCGAATATTTTTTGCATTTCTGGACGTTTCAAGGTCCTCGAGTCCAAAAATATGAAAATTTTGGGGGTCATTGTTTGACCGAACGCCATATATAACAGAGGGAAACCTCTGCTTTATACGGTATATAACAGAGTAAAAAGTAAAGTAAAAAGTTCACACGATATTCTTCATAAATTATTTGATTTCTTCGTATTTTATACAAATGGACATACACCACTTTCATAATAAAAAAAGGTTCATATTATAATAATAATAACAACAGCAAATGGAAAAAGAAACAATGAAACAAACACAAGATAGCCAAACGCATAAATAAAAGAAAAATTTCCCAAAAATGTTACACAAAATAAGTATATTAATGAATACATTTTTAAAAAGAGATCTTTAAAGAGCTTATTTATAGTAAGGAAAACAACAACAACAACAACGTGGAAAAAGGAAAACTGTATTTATTCTTCTGTGCACGTTCATTTATTTGAAATGTGGGAGTAACTATGTATCCGTCAGACTACTGTGTCGCCATCTGTTGGCATAAATTTAGATTTTAGTGACTTTTTAGATATAATTTGTGATAATTACGTAAATGTTTAATAGATTTTTCTATAAATTTAATCAGTGATTCCTCTCATCGTTTTATACTGATTATACCAAGTCTAATCGTTTTATACCAAGTTTGGTAAAAAAAATATATATATAGCCTATATCGGACGAAATTTCGTTGTCTTATAATCAGGGCTGGCCTTCAGGGAGCTGTGGTGGGTGCAATACACCCGAAACGGTCACGAACTAAACACTCTCATTTAAACTTTATTATATTTTATTTAATTAATTTTTTCAAATATATTTAGTTTAGTTTTCGTTATTCGAATCGGGGAATTCGCAAATTCTGTGGTTATAAAACTAGATTAATTTCAATTCAATTTCCGCGAGTGTTATATTTTCCTTGTTTAATATATAGTATTATATATTTTATAGTTTCCTTTTGTAATATTGTAAAAAGTAAGTACACATTTTACTTTTTGTTATTTTATGAAATGAAAATACTTAATATTATTAGAACATGTCTATGCCAAGAAAGTATCTCTCTGATTGTCATAAAAAGGAAATTAGCAGAAAATAAAAAGAAAAAAAATCATAAATCTCAAAATGTCACGGATAAATTTGTATTGGTGGCTACAAAATAAATCTGACAACGAAATTGCTACTACTTCAGCAGTTGCGATTCAAGCTTCTACTGGAGAAGGAAACTTTAAACAAGTTACTCAACTTTTCCATAAAAATATAGAAATTGTAGAATTCGTCAAAAAAGCCGCATATGATTCTAAAAATTATCGTATGCAAAAAATAACGATGAAAATAATAATAACGTTGGTGATGGAGTCAATATAGGGGAGACCGGGGCAACTTCGGCATGCGGGGCAAGTTTGTCAAGCGCTTTTTTTCTAAAACAAATTAAAACGAGACTTTGGTTATAGGTTAGGCAGTTGAGTTTTATTGGTGGCTTGTTGAGTGTAGTGTTTTTATTGTTCTCCAACAAGCGTAGTTGAATTATCAAGCAAATTTTCATTTTCGTTCAATTCCATATAATATTTTGCTTCCATTTATATTGAATTGCCAGGTTTTGTTATAATTCCACGATAACGAAAGTTACTTTTCCTGTTAGAAGGATGTAACTTCAACTTATTCACGTGGCCAGATCGTGGCTTGGCATTCTGTTCTCAGGGTTGTACTTAATGTTTCGAAATCATGACTAGCGGGGTAAGATCGGCAACATAAAGCCACATTAGAAGCAAAGGATAAAAATCAAACAGATGATAAATGAAAACATGTTTGCATTTGTTATTCATGTATATATGTCTTTGAACTTGCATTTCGTTGTAATAATATTAAATGAGTGTTGGATTTGTATTTCTTTGTTTTAATAGTGAATTCCAACTTATACATTGTTAATAACATAATTTTATATACGTGCCTATCTTACCCCATTACTGTTGCCCCTATACCAGGGGCAACTTTAATAAAAATAATTAAAATAATTACAACTTTACAAAAAAAGAGAAGTTTCCGATCTTGCCCCTATACCCGGAGCAACTTCGTCAATTTCTCTCTTCTTGTAAAGTTGTAATTATTTTAATTATTTTTATTTCCAAACTGATTTTAACCAGTTCTATAGTAAGGTAACATTCCAATAGACAATATGCAAAGCTTTTTTTTCAGTTTACAGCAGTATTTATTACACAAAATTTAAG